ATGAAATTCAACCAATGAAAATAAGATTAGTATGTTATTTATGAAATTCAACCAATGAAAATAAGATTAGTGTTATTTATGAAATTCAACCAATGAAAATAAGATTAGTGTGTTATTTATGAAATTCAACCAATGAAAATAAGATTAGTGTGTTATTTATGAAATTCAACCAATGAATACAAGATTAGTGTGTTATTTATGAAATTCAACCAATGAATACAAGATTAGTGTGTTATTTATGAAATTCAACCAATGAATACAAGATTAGTGTGTTATTTATGAAATTCAACCAATGAATACAAGATTAGTGTGTTATTTATGAAATTCAACCAATGAATACAAGATTAGTGTTATTTATGAAATTCAACCAATGAAAATAAGATTAGTGTGTTATTTATGAAATTCAACCAATGAAAATAAGATTAGTATGTTATTTATGAAATTCAAGCAATGAAAATAAGATTAGTGTGTTATTTATGAAATTCAACCAATGAAAATAAGATTAGTGTGTTGTTTATGAAATTCAACCAATGAAAATAAGATTAGTGTGTTATTTATGAAATTCAACCAATGAAAATAAGATTAGTGTGTTTATCATGTCTTGAGAGATAATTTTCAAATGGACAAAAATGCGTTTTCACGTTTGTTTTTAGGAACTGAAAACTTGTTACTGATTCTGTAGAACATCTGAAAGAACAATCTAAAAATTTTGTAGCTTTATTAAGAAGAAGAAAAGAAGATAGAATTTGTCATCATAAGATTGTATCAATTAATACACTTGAAAAAAAAAAAATTTTAAATCTGTGTTTCAACCAAAGGCAGAGTTTGCAGTATTAAACCCATTATATTTACAAAAGCAACAGCTGCTGGTTAATTTTATATTACAGGGGCAACCGACTACTTTATACTCGTGGGCCAGTTTGTTACCTAGACTACAGGGGCTGAAACTATATGACCAGGTGAAATACATTTAGAATACCTGATAAATTTAAGTTTTAATTCCTACTATCTACACACTATTGATCACAAACATGCCCGCCGATTGTTATTGGGAGTCCGGAATCCAGCCCGCCAGTTGGCTATCTATGCCATAAAGCTTAATGCAGAAACAATTTTAAATCAAAAAAATTATATCTGTAGCTTCAGGGAAACATCTGATAAAGATATAGGTGTTTTCAACCTGTATGTTATATATATATATTATTGAATTCTTCCTTCTTTCAAAATCTCAGCTTTCAATGTCTTCAAGACCAACAATGTCAATATTTCAAACAAACATTTTGAAGTTTCTACGATATCCAAGAAGAAGAATGCCCGGTAAAGCTGCCAAATTATGTGAGAATCAGTACAAATTTGAGTATTAAAATAATTTTGTACTTGCGTTGTTTTCTGGAGTTATGTGTAAATATTGTACATGTCTTTCCTTAAGAAAGTGATAAATTAGATATATAATACATGTTTCTATTGTATCATGTTTGTTTGTTTTAGAGCAAAGCCACACTGGGCTACTGCTATGTCTGTCCACTGGGGGGGGGAACGAACCCTGAATTTTGGTGTTGTAAGTCCATAGACCTACCGCTACAAAACAAAATATAAAAAACATTGTTAATTCTTTACAAATATTAAAGTTCAGAGTTCCCCCTTTTTTATTTTTCATTTCTTTTATTATAAATGTATGGTTTTTGACTCTGAAGATGGCACTGATAGATTACAAGAGAAAGGTGAATGATTAATTACCACTTACGTCTAATAAAATTATATCGAAAATCATTTTTATTTCCACCCTTTTATTAGGCATAAATAAACTGTGGCGAGAATAAAAAACTTGAAAACAAACACTTTTGGAACTATGAACAGATATAATTGGGGACTTTCTGTATTCCCTTATGATAAAAGTTTTGTTTTATATGCCTGCAGCTCTCAGTAAAAATCGAAAACCTTATTTATTGTTAACAGAATAACAAAAGAAAATTTTAAAAAGAAATAAAACGTTGTTCCTGTATTATCTGTTTGTTATTCAATCAAAAATCTTTAAAATTACTGGAACATGAAAGAAAAATGAATGTAGATGACCATTTCAGATTTGAAAGAGAAGGAAGGTTTTCGTGAATTAATTATATCAAGTTGTGTATTTTAAACAACAAAATACCTGGAAAAGGGCCACGAAAATGTCGTGAGCTCAAAGTGACGATAAAAAAAGCATGTCATAAAAACATCACCAGTAAATGGTGAAACTAACAGTGTTATTTATCATTAGTCAATCGGTCAACTGATAAATAAAAGGGGACAGCCACGAACATCGTAAGTCAACAACACCCACCACCAACTCTTGGCTGCCACTTATCTGATTTAATAGTGGTATTTGACCATAACTCTTATAACGCACTAATGGCTCCAAAAAGCAGAGCGTGCTTATACGGCAAAGGATCACAAACCATGAATACTTTGTTCGTCTCTTTGAACTCGTTAATGGTACTGACTGTCACTTATATAACATGACCACAGTTCAAAGTGTGAAACATTCTACAGAGGCATCACATTTTGAAGATAAAAAAGTCCTTGAATCTGGGGTCTGACATGCTAACCACTGAGGCACACCCATCCCAAGTTATGTTGAATTTTAAAAATGATTTAAAAGATCACTTTCATCAATTTAGTTTGCACACAAGCAACAGTTATACAGCGTGCCCTGAATCACCTTCATCAGTTTAGTTTGCACACATCCAACAGTTATACAGTGTGCTCTGAATCACCTTCATCAGTTTAGTTTGCACACATGCAACAGTTATACAGTGTGCCCTGAATCACCTTCATCGGTTTAGTTTGCACACATGCAACAGTTATACAGTGTGCCCTGAATCACCTTCATTGGTTTAGTTTGCACACATGCAACAGTTATACAGTGTGCCCTGAATCACCTTCATCGGTTTAGTTTGCACACATGCAACAGTTATACAGTGTGCCCTGAATCACCTTCATAGGTTTAGTTTGCACACATGCATCAGTTATACAGTATGCCCTAAATCACCTTCAGCGGTTTAGTTTGCACACAAGCAACAGTTATACAGTGTGCCCTGAATCACCTTCATAGGTTTAGTTTGCAC